CGAGCCGTGCTGGTGCTGCTCTCTGCCTCCTACCACCTCCCCGGCCTCGGCTGTCGCTGCCCTCCTCCCTCCCTCCGCCCTCGATTCCTCCCTCGCCCGGCACCTGCACAGGTATCTGTCCTCCCTCTGGTTTACGAGCACCGGCTCTCGGCTATAAATCTCGCTTCTCGCTTAGCGGCTGCTCTCACGCCTGTGCTTTCTCCCAGACCACCTTTGTGGTAGCTTACCTAGGCAACTCCTTAGCTTTTCTTCTCTGTGGTCACTGAGCCTGTCAGTAACGACCGCGTTGTCTCCGCAGTAGCTTTCCTGGTTACTTTCCTTCTGCTGGAGCGATACTTGCTTTTCTCCTCCCGGTGATGTCAGGTTTGGGGCTGTCCAGTTATCTGTGTTCAGGCCTGCTAATATTCTTCCAATATCTTACGTGCACTAACTCTCTCTGATTTGGCATGTTCTTTGATTGAGGATGTCGTAATTTAGCGTGAAACGTTCCTGAGAGAGAACGTTTTCCACAAGAGCTTCAGCAGCAGCCCCAGATGGTTTTGATACATCTTTTGTTTTATTGATATGAAAATGGGTGTGTCTTTACTTTGTATTCAGAAGGTGGGTCCTGGAGAACTGTTTTGTTGCTATAGTTATTCTTCTCCTAAGTAGAAAATCAGTTTCTGAAAAGTGATAGAGAAATGTAAAAGAAGGATTAGGACTGAGAAAGGCAAGGGTACTCAGTGAGTAATAACAGTGTGTGAGTTACCTATGGCATCTGGGGTTTACCGTAACTGCATACTTCTCATGGAATTGGGAGTGGTTTCAAAGTTCCAGATATTAAAACTGCTTCTATATTTTCCTCTGACATGAAAAGAGTTCATAAATTAATCTTTTTCTGCAAAACTGCAACTAAAGCAAAAAAAGCAATGCTCTGGGTTTCTAGTTGTATAAGGAACAAAGATTCATTAAGGGGCTTTGCAGGCAGAGGTTAACTGCTGGACCTGTCTGTACTTTGCTATCTGTAAGAACCAGCTCAGAAAGAATGTTTCTTGTTTCTCCTAATCTGCATTTTGTCGTTTAAGAGACTTTAATCTGTGGTATTGCAAACGTTAGTTTCATCTTTGCAAAGTTTTAGCTCGTATTACCTCTCAAGTCTATGGAGTGCTTTGATGTCATAATTGAAAATACAACTAGTTGTAGATAGCAGAGAACGTTTGGTTAGAGATGAGTAGCCCTAGAGGAATACTGTGTCAGTGTGTGACAATGATATCTCTAAAACTAAGTCATTGTAGTTATGAGTTTACATAAAGGTGACTTCAAGATCATTAATCTAGGTGTGGAATAAGGAGAAAGTATAATTGTTTTGCAATTTGCAAAATTATGTTTAATTTTGTTGAGCTGCTCTTGGTTTTTGCATTTGGAAGCTTCATTTTTTCCTTTAATGATTTTCAACTCAGAATTGCAAAGACAGCTAGCACAGAACTCATTAAATAATTACTTTATTGTTCCAGATTTCTTATTTGATAAAATTTGGTGGTCCCGCTCCGCTTCTGTGCAGTATTTTAGCACAGTTTCATAACTGAAAAATAACTGTCAAATGAACCATAACAACCCAGTGTGTTTGAAAAATCTTTTCGTTTTGATGGAAAACTGAAGTTAGTAATCTCAGCCATTCATGTTTATTTAATTTATAGTCTACCAATGTACTAGTCTAAACAAGACTGAAGACTTTAAGTGGTTATTCATTTGGAATCCAGGTTCAAGAGAGGTTAGTGCCTGCTCACCTGGCCCTTGTGCAGTGGAGCACAAGGAGGCAGCTGGTGGACACCTGTGCTGCTGGAGAACTCGAGGGGCAGGGGTCTTAACCACTGCTGCTGGCAGGAAACTCACCTTGTCTTGTACCTGCGCTTTTGTCAGCATCACCGCCATGTGCATGGAGCCCTTTGTCTTTAAGACCCCCATGGCTTTTCACATAACTGGACACTGGTCTTGAACTAGTTTGCTGTGCGGTGGGTGAGGAAATCGTGTTGTCAAAGGGCTTAACCGCAAGGCCAAATTTTAGTTAGAAGTAAACTGTAAGGCTTTCTTGGTATGAAATAGCATTATAATACCAAGATATGCTCTTTATAATATTAAGATATACTCCTGAAATTTATTGAGAACCTGTGGATAAGAGACTAAACAAAAGGAGGTGGGAGGGAGAAGAGAAAACTCTTAGTTACCTGTGAGTTTAAATCCTGTTTTCTTAAGTCCTAAGCCACTTAATGCAAAACTCTTACAGTCATTGTGTTTGCAGCTTATTTTTTTGTAAGCACTGTGAAGAACTTGCTGCTGACCTTTAGACAAGCTTAGTGCTTTGTATTTCACTGGCTTCACAAAGTTTTAATTTGTTTACGAGTTACTATTTCTATTGCATCATGGAGGTAAGTAGGGGAAATACAGATGTGGTGTAGGATGTAGAAGCAATGCTAAATACTCTGGGCCTGCCAGAGCTGGGTATGTACTATCCTGCAGTAATGCTTTCAAGTAAGTAGTGCTCTTCTTGGGTGACCATACATTCGTGTTAGCTACAGAGAACATGCTCACTTCATGGGAAACAGCAGACAAATGGTTGGTCAGCATGCTGTGTGGGTGAATTGCATGTTCTGGAAAATAATGCAGAGTTCTGCCATCTAATCAGTTCCTAGGACACCAGCACAGGGTAACTCCATTACCGGGAAAGGATGTTTTTACCTTTGGTTGCAAAATGGAAGTAATTTTCAAAGATGAACGGAACTAATAAATTTAGTTTTGAATATGAACTTATGTTATTTATATCGTGCTTTATACTGAGAATAAAATGGAGAAAAATTAAGATTGCATTGTGAAACTGCTTTTAATTAAAGCTGTGTCTTTGGATGGGAGTCCCTTCTTTGTGTCTTTGCTATAACTAATGCAGAGGAATGGCTCATCTTGTTGTTAGGCTGAGGTTCCCACATGTGTTTGGATTTATGCTGTCTAACATGAGTCACTGACACGTAACTTTAAGTGCTGTTTCCTTGAACCATTTCCCGGTGCTGCCTGTTGGTAGGGCTTTGTTGATGGAGGCGCAGTATGCATTTCTCCAGTAGATGGAGTGGGATCTACATGGAGTCACTGAGGTTACCTGGCTGCCAGCCCCTCCGGCGCCTGACTTAGAGGGTCAGCACCGGAACGGTGGTTATTTCTTGCTGGAATGTTTCTGTCTTCAAAGATTTGTATTTGATTCCTGTCACATTGAGGCAATGCTTTTATTCAAGGCAGGAACCCACATAAAATCTCAAGTGGATGCTAAATTATTTGGCACCCTTGTTGTATGTGTTTGTTTGAGTTATGGAGATGGAACAGGAATGTATTTTGCAGACTAACAAACCACTTTATCTTATAAGCTCACTTGAGTAAAATAAAGATTCATAAAATGCGTTACAAAACCATGATCTTAAATGGTAGCTTTTGCTTCAGATTTAAGTCTTAACTTGGAGTGAATTATCTCTCTGTATCGTAGTATGTGTCCTTGAAATACAAATTAATTCTGTTCCTTTGACATGGCGCATACAGGACACTGCTGGAGGCGGATCTTAGGTTCATGCAGATTCCCTATGTCATTTTAGATCAATAGGTATAGATTGGAAAAAAGCTACAGGTAGCTAGAAAAAATAAGTTATTCAGAGTTATTTTAAACTCTATTTCTACTTTGCTCTTCTGTTGTATTCCACAGTGAGGAAGATGATGACCTTCAATATATGGATCATGACTATGAAGTACCGCAGCAAAAAGGTTTGAAGAAGATATGTAACAGGGTGAAGTGGACACGTGATGAGGTAATACTTCTTTTGGCTTTACTTTAATTCCTATGTGATACTGGTAGCACATGAAATATGTTGTTATTTAGTATTGTATTGGGATGGCAACATTTATTGTCTGAGGTTATGTCTTACCAGGACGAAAGGCTAAAGAAGTTAGTGGAACAAAATGGCACAGATGATTGGGCTTTCATTGCTAGTCATCTACAAGTAAGTTGAATCTGTTTCAGTTAAGTTCCTTTTTAATATTTATCCTTTTTAATATTTATCTACTTTAGTCATATGTCTGGTTTGGAAATGAGGTGAAAGAAGTCGGAAACACGTAATAGTAAAAATATTTTAAAGGATGCTTGTAAATTGGACTTGAGATCTAGCTCAGACCATGGAGAACCTCATCAGCTCAGGCTGAGGATCAAGTAAAGGTCTGAAGTGATCAAAAATAATTGATCTCTTCTGTCCCCACTTGCTATTTTTTTCATTCTGAAAAATATTCCTGCTTCCTATTGGTTGCATCACTTGGGGTGGTTACATCTGCAGTTCACCAGTTGATTCTGAAGCAGTTAGGAGAGTGGGTTGCATCTTAAGATTGCTTGAAAGGAGCGGCATAAATTTCTTAAACACCTGAGGAAAAGTGGGCTGGGGTGGTGGTGGGTTTTGGTTTGGTGTGGTTCTTTTTTTTTTTTTTTTTTTGGTGTTTGTTGGGATGTGTTGGCTTTCTTACAGTGATGTTTGTTTCCCTAACATATGTAGAGCCAATGATGTCTCCAGTTGCTACAGATGGAACCTTAGTGGGTTTCTTGGAAGTTTCCTACTGACACTTAAAATTTCTTGTTCTGTTCCAATGGTCAGGTGGAAAAAGTAAAAGAGCTGTTGGATCAAATGTTGAATGACTCCTTAGCTATATGAGCTATACTGGTAGAAAACACCTACAACTAGAGTCAATGATGTTTGTTTCTCTTCTGATTAAATGTTATAAAATGCCTACTATAAAAACATGGCTAGAATATAAGGCTGAAATCATACCTAGAAGTGGTATTGAATATTCCAATGTTAGAAATAAAAATTTACACCCCCCCTGCCTTTGTGGCTCTTATAACATTGAGGAGTATGATACAGTTGCATGAAATTCCTGTGTAACTAGGTAAAAATAGACTTGAATTCTGAATGCTGAACTTTTCATTGTTCTCATCATATTTGTGCAACTGTGGTGCTTCTGATTTTTTTTTCCAGGTGGCAAAGTATAGATATCAGAGAATAAACTCAAAGCTTCTAAATTCAAGGAATGCATAAGCAAATCACTTTTCATACATATGCTTTATCCCCTTCCAAAAAGCAGTGAAGTGAGTGAATGGAAGAGGAGAAAAAGATAATATCAAGAAGCTTTTATATGAAACTTAAATATACAAAGCTCGGTGATACTGATCTGCAGGTGTAGCATGGAGTTGCATTTAACAGATCCAACAGTTTAATAAGAAGTTCTCCAGCTGAAAACAAGTGCTTCTGGAGACAGAAAGCTATTGTTCATCTGGGGCCCAAGTGAGGCTGAAAAAAGGCTCCCCAGTTATCATGGGAAAAATGCATGGATGATCAGGTTGCCCATTGCAGAATCATTGATGTTGGAAGGAACCTCTCAAGACCATCTAGCCTGAGGCCCTGCTCAAGCAAGGTCAGCTGGAGCAGGCTGCCCAGGACAGTGTCCATTTGGGTTTTGAATATCCAAAACCATTTGAGTTTTGAATAGCTCCGTGGGCAGAGACTCCACAGCATCTCTGGGTGACCTCTTGCAGTGTTCAAATTACAGAGCCAAATAATAGAGGTTGGCATAATTAGCACTTACCTTATTACTGATGGTCTTTTGCTAGGAAAACCCAAGTGTATCTTGAGTTTAGTAAGTGCGTGTAAGGGCACTCAAACTGCCGTGTTTTCAGAACACCATTTCACTATTGGGCTGGGCATAAGTAAAGCTTCCCTCTGTTCTGCCCAAAAAAGTGAAGATGGCTTAAAGGTGACTTGAGAGGGGATGCAGCTTGTATTATCTTTCAATTTATTGTGGCTAAGGCAATTTCAGAAATGTCTGGAAGGTAAAAGACACTAAAAGACCCCAATTTCAAAATTTTTCTTTCATTGAAAATGCGAACAGCTATATTGAGTCTGTCTTTTACAGCTTATCTTCACCAGGAAATAGGGATGTTTTGTAACAAATTCCAGTGTGCTTTTGGTTGTACAATGTCTACTTGTGGTTAACTCAGAGGTACTTGTGATCAATGTAACTTCAGATGTAACAGTGTTTTGGGTGTTTTTTCTGGACTTGCAGACTGCTTCTTGTTTAACTTCATCTTAGCATGGTAACACCTTTACTTGGTAGACAAGCTGAGCAAAACTCTGAAATCGGTACTTGCTGTCTAGCAGCTTGCACTGAAGAGAGTAAACAATCATGTCCCAGTCTTACAAAAGGCATACTAATATGTTGTGCTGGGGCAGGCTCTTATCTGCACATTTTTAAGGATTGGGCCAACTATCCTGAGAGCCCAAAACTTTCCTACAGACAGTTTTTAGGAGGCTAAGTGAAAGCTCCGTTCTCTTTCATAACTGGGAACAGTATTTCAAAAGATCCTTAGTGAAGCTACAGAAAAGCATCATCTGTCCTGAGTGGGAAAAGCAACGTTGTCTAGTTAGTATGTATTAGCTAAACTTGATATAAATCTGTTTTCCTTAACACTCTAGTAAAGAGCTGAGAATATATTAATTTGAGACTTAGAAAAAAGTTTATTCTTTTATTTGAAAGAAAAAATATTTCAATTAATGTTTTCTGTTATGTAGGTTGTAGATAATGTCAAAAGCGTGTCATTAACATTAAGTTCAGAGAAGGTGTGGAGTAATGAGGACAAAAATAATTAAGTTTTTCTTTAAAGAAGAGTAAGTTCTGAATTTAATTATCAAGTAGGAATATTGAAGTAATTGCATTAAAGCTTTGTGTAAGGCTATTTTTTCCAGAGAAGAGTTTTTGTAAGCAAATGAAAGAAGAAATAATAAGGGAGATTTTAACTATTATACTTAGAACAAAGGTCTGAATAAGTCTTAATTTGAAATAAGCTAATAATTCCGGCTAACTAATATTTATAGTTTTATGTATTCAAGAGTTTAACAGCTACGCTGATCTTCTAAAACTGTTTCAGAATCGCTCAGATTTTCAGTGTCAGCATCGATGGCAGAAGGTACTAAACCCAGAACTGATTAAAGGTCCCTGGACTAAAGAAGAAGATCAGAGGGTACTGTACTCTTTTATTGTAATAAAATTGTCTAAGAATGTGTACCTTTTCTTGTGTTTCATCCCCGTAAAGATGATGTCTGATGCATCTTGTGACATACATTATTACCTTACATCATGCTGTGTGAGGGGGGGAAAAAAAATGCAGCTGCTCTTACGTAGATGGAATATCTGGTCTGCTCAAGCATTTAATTTCCCTCTGCTCAGATTGCCAGCTGAACTACTCTAGCTCACCAAGTAGAGGAGATGTCTTTACAGCACTAAAGATCAAAGGTCTCATTTACATCTTTTGTTCCTCAAACCCAGCAGACTTAAAGGGGTTAGGAATGAGGGAAATTATTTCACACTCTACTGTTAAAGAAGCTAGCAATGGTGTGTTACACTCCTTTTCCCCACCTTGGTTAGTCCATGCTGCAGCTTTTTGCCTGCAAAACCTGGACTGCCCTGTAGGGAGGTGCACATGCAGCTTTCACATATGGTATTTCAAATTGACTGCTTATTCCCACTGTTTTAACGTCTTTAAAAGTAGTATTTGTTAACTGAATATGGGCTTCCTAATCAATTTTTTTTTTACAGTTTTCATCAGTCTTTTAAGAAAAGGCTTCTAATGTGTAGAAACATGAAGAAATGTCATGGAGGTTGGGAGCAGAGGTGTGGGGTTTCTCTCATACGTATGTTGTTAAAAAAAGTCAAACCAGGCATCTTTACTAACTTCTTTTTTGGTATTTCCTAATGTCAGCTTATGCAATGGGTGACAAAGGAAACTTCCAAATGAACATTTTCGTCAGTATAGACTTATATTCTAAACACAGTGAATCTGGAGTTAATAAGCAATTTTTTGATTTCTTGAAAAATAATTTTTAAAACCTCAAGTCACTGTCTGCCTCCTTCAACCTAGTGTCTTATCAACTTGTCTATTACAATCTTATTCTAAAATGTCAGTTTATCAGTGTTCTCAGTCTTTGACTAGGAAAATTAAGTTTTGGAATATAACAGGCTTTCATCTGTGTTCCAGGTTATTGAATTAGTTCAGAAGTATGGTCCAAAGCGCTGGTCTCTGATTGCAAAACACCTGAAAGGAAGAATAGGCAAACAATGCAGAGAGAGATGGCATAACCATCTCAATCCTGAGGTAAAGAAGTCTTCGTGGACGGAAGAGGAGGACAGAATAATCTATGAAGCTCACAAGCGTTTGGGAAACCGATGGGCTGAAATAGCAAAACTCCTTCCTGGAAGGTGCTTTTCAACTCTATTTGTGTTAAATATTGGAATATGGAAAGCGGTCATTGCTGTTTCCAACGCAATTTGTTAGTCAGAGAACATCTGTTCAAACTTGCATCACAGCATCTTTATTGTGATAGATACTGAAACTTTTTAAGATCTTTTGCATTTGATTATGTATTCTTAAAAAGCCATAAAACCAATAAAAAGTCCTCTAACACTCTGCAAGTTCCTTCAAAAATTCTCCTGATGACTTAGAAAAGACTGTAGTAGAGCTGAAGAGAGTAACTGCAAGTAATAGTGGAAGAATGCCTTAACGTCCTATGACTTAGTATCAAAATGCCTTCACTAGAATGTGTTTGGGGGTGACTTTCTTTTTGGTTTAAGATCAGAAATTCTTTTTTTTTAGTGTATTTTTTGTGGAACACTTCTTGTTAAACAGGACACTTGAAAAAGAAAATCTTAGTAACCTTGAAGGGTCCAGGCTTAGGAGTCATGCATTGCAAAACTAGCTGCCTGCCATGTAGTCTCTATGTTCAAAATGAATCGTATGCATTGTTCTCCTTATCTTTGTTTCAAGTGTGGTTGCCAACTTATATGCTCGTGGAAAACAAAATTTTAGTGTATAAAGAGTTAAATAAATTTTTCTGTCTTGTGCTGTTAATTGAAATTCAATGTTAAGCTGTCCCCCTCTGAATTCAGTCTGTATGTTCAGGAGGTGACTGCCTAGCTGGGCCCAAGGAATGTCAGTACTTGTTATGTTGGGAGAATGAGTCCTTAGAGATGTGTGTTTAAAAATTTGACATTTTAACTACACAGTCCTTGAATCACACAAGTACTTTGGTTGAATGGGAAGGGAATGGATTGCATCTTTAATGAATTTCAGAGAGGGAAGATGAATTTGTAAGAAATTCCTAATTCACTAGCTTATTTATTGATAATAAATCCAAGATGAGACTCTTAGCTAACGATTGGATCCTAGGCCTAGAAAATTTGTGAAGAGTCTAACACCAGTGGGATGAAAAAGGGGAATTATTCTTGGAGCTGAGCTTGAATGAAGAATAGGGCTTAGAGTAATTTTTATTTCTTTGCACCTCTCTCGAGTGCTAGCAATGATATTGCTAATATTTTAGACTATAATGCATTCACCCTCCACTCTTAACACTTGTGTTAAAAGCGATTTCAGCCTGCTTGTCAAACTGCAGGCATTTTCTTTCCAAGGGGAGTGACAATGGGTACTGGTCTTCTGCCATGCCTGCTTTCCCTATGCAAGATCAGAGGTGCCAAGAGATAGGGGGATGTTATTCCACAAAGCTGCACATAAAACTCAGAGCTGGGAATGCTGACTGTAATTTTTTTTTTAGAAAAGATGTCTTCCGACAGCAAGCACTAGCTCCAGTGCCCTTATTATGCTGTAGGACTGTAGGGTGATTGCCTTAGCTTCAAGTTCTGCAAATTTGTAGCAGAGGGTAAGTAATGTAGTGACTTAGAACACGTGGTTGTTCAAAGTATCCAAGAAAGAAGGTTCTCACCAATGGTAATAGCCAGAACCAAGGCTTTCTCTTGTGTTACTTTTAATTTCCTGCAGGCTCTGAGTTTGGTAGAAGGAAGTTTTGAATAGTGTAGATTCCTAGTAATTACGCCAAAACCCCACTGATGATAGTACTTTCACTCCAAGTTGCTGGAGATTTCTGGATTTGTTGCTTTGGATTAACCTACTCTACAAACCCTGTAAATTATGCCATATATTAAACTTTGAGATATGGAAACCAGTCGCTGTTGTACGTTTTCATTTTAGGACTGATAATTCGATTAAAAATCACTGGAATTCAACAATGCGAAGAAAGGTGGAACAGGAAGGATATTTACAGGATGGTATAAAGTCTGAAAGAGCTAGTTCATCAAAACTTCAGCCCCAGCCTTGTCTGAGTATGGAAGACTTGAACGCTCAGAATCAATTTTACATACCTGCTCAGACACATGTAAGTTCGCAATCTAGAATAATTAGTATTTCCCAGTTGCAAATAATTTATTGGGTTTGGAACGAGAAGCAAATCTGAAAGAACGAAGATCTGTTCAGTATTTTTGTGATATTATGGTAACTTAGGATTTGTAAGCCCTAATAAATAGTTTATGTACAATAAACTAGAGATAATTTTATAGCCTCCTTTTGTTTAGGGTTTGTAAAATGATTTATGTCTTTTTAGATTCCAGCATACCAGTATACCTCACCAGAACGCAGCTGCCTAGAACACGCTTCAGCTTCTTCCAACTTAGTTCAGGTAAATTGTTAATGGGTGCTGTAAATGCTGAGAATGTATTGTGTGTTATGCTGTAAAATGAAAAGTTTAAAAACATTAACTTCAAAATGTCGATGAGTATCACCTAAACTTATGTCAGTGCTCCTCTGTAAGAAGCTTGCTAGCTTAATTGATAGTTCTAGGTAGGAAAAAAGGAGCTGTCTTTATACATCCCAGAAACACAATGGTTGTGCTTATTTCTGACAGAAGTATGGCTTAAAACATAGTCTACTAGTTAAATCTTTAGGTTAAAATTATGACCTGTTAGTATTACCTAGCTTCTGAGAGATTTAAAGACAAGATTTTGCTACTTTATTTATGTGATAAATATAACCCTATCTGAAAGACTCAGTTCAAATAACTTACTCTGACTTATACTTATGGCTGTGCTTTTTTGACCTCAATAGGTTTTAGTTTTTTCTGACTGATAACTTTTATCACAGTTGAAGATGCTCTTTGGCCACATTCTGGGTGCTGAATTATTGAGAAACTTTAAAACAAACAAACAAAAATGGATATATTTATTTCCTTTTACTCCTTTGGCTTACTTAGAATATATCTGAAATTCTTCATGTGTTGCAGACTGAATGTAGGTCTTGGTTTGTAATATGACTTCCTGGAAGAATTTTTATGAAATTGAAATTGGTTAAAAAAAAAAAAAATCATTTTGACATGGGGAATAGTACGTACTTGTTTGTGCTAGATGTGTTAGAGGCATTCAGCAGAAGTCTGTACCTGACCTTAAGTTTCCCTGTGCAGGCCATCTGTTTCATGTTGCATTTTCTTCCCTGGATCTCAGTATAAGAATACAAATCGTAACAAAGTCTTGTGTGGCCTTTGATGCTCTGGAGTGCCCTACAGGAAGATTATAAGATACTTTCTGCTCCTTGAAGTCCTCCCTATAACTGGGGAGCATAACTAGTTTTGAAACTCATGGCATATATCCTCACTTACTTATATACCAATAATAGAAATTTTTAAGGAGGTTAAAAACAAACCAATCAACCAAAACCAATTAGTTAATTTTCTTTTCTGATAGTAGGGGTAGGACTGCTTGTGTAGACACTGTCAGCAAATGCTGACTGAAACACTTTCTTGCACACTCAGTGAGGATAAATAACTCAAAATCCTAGAAAGCATATGAAAACACAAAGACATCTACCAAGGTGCCAACATTGTTGCTTCTATTAAAGATAGAACTGAGTGACTTTTGGTTAAAAAGTGCTACAGCGTACTAAGCATTTATAGGCCACATTAGAAACCAGTTAAAATATTAGCTCGTAAACCACTTTAACATCAGACCCATCTTCTGGTAATTGCTGGGGTTTCACTTGCAAATGACTACTGTATTACAAAATATGATACAGCTTGAACAGCTCTTTTCCCACTATGTGTGGGTTTGTGTTAAAAATGTAGCATCTTTACTGTGGAAGGGTGGTGGAGGTGGAAAAAAGTAATGGCTTCTTTCTTAAATTTTTCAGCAGTCATTTATTGATGATGATCCTGATAAAGAAAAGAAAATAAAGGAACTTGAATTGCTACTTATGTCAGCAGAGAATGAAATAAGAAGAAAACGAGTGTCTTCTGTAAGGACTGTAAATTTCTGTAAATATTTGATTATACTTTACTGAGATTAATCCTCAGCAATTGAGTAATGGATGTGTGGGGTTTTGTGGTGTTTTCTTCATCTGACCTTTTAAAATCAAGCCTATGGCTGTTGGGTTGTAAAACAAAGTCCAGATATTAGAATCGAGGCAAATTAATTTTAGTGCAGTTTTCTAAATGGTGAAAACAGCAGAAATATGACCTCCAACTTGGCAGTTGTTCCTAAAATACAGGATTTTAATCCTTTTCAAGAGGTTTGTTGATATCACCAGCATTAAGTTTTATAGATCAGTAATGCCGATCACCTCTTCAACAGAGAAAGGTGAAAAATATGTAGGTTTTGCACTATTTGATTTCAAAATGTCTTGTAAATCATGTTTTTATCAAACTTCTCTGTGAGTGCTTGCAATACTTAATATCCACACTTGGACGTGACAAACTATGTAAGTTTGCACTGTACAAAATTTACATGTACTTCAGTGGAATGGGGGAAACTTGCAGATGACAGTCACTTATTTCCTCAGGAACAGAGGGCTGTGAAAAATGTCAGACATCTCACCAAGCCAACCATATTGATCACTAATTTAGATTACAGGTGAACTTCCAGTTTTTCCTGGCATTCTCTTGAAACAGTGCAATGTTCTGCTTATCTAGTGAAATCTGCTTTGCTTCTAGATTTCTAGTGAAAATTAAAGTCTTTCTTGAGTACTAAGCAGTGTACTAAAATGGGATAACAATTTAGAAGTAAACTATGTGCGTTTAAAAAAAAATCAGGTTAAACAAGAAGTACTTCATATTCTAGAAACAATTTCTAATCTTAAGATGTACCTGTGTTCTGTCGTGAAATTGACTTCATAATATACTGCTGTTCAGGAACACAGGAAATTCGCATCAGAGATGGCTTCCTGTGCAACCCATAGTTATCTAAGTTATAAACATGTGTAAGACATGAATGAGAGGTAAGATAAAAAACTTACGCAATTTGAGAATGTTGAGTATGTTAATGTAATTAACTGCATTAATGCAAACAGATAATTAGTGTTTGAAAAAGCAAAAATTAGTAGTTATGCTTAGTCTTTCCACATACTTTTTTTTTTTTTTCACCTCCCTGCAGTCACATAACTAACTCTTTTAAACTTCTAAGTTGAATAAGATTAATGTGTTTCTTCATGCTTTTTAGCAAGCTGGAAACTTACCTTGTTGGTCTGGAAGTTTTGTCATGGAAGATTGTATGTCTAATACATTAAATAGCTTTGGGGAACAAACAAGTGAGTTCTACAGCATGGATGAGAGCCACGTCACACCTGTTCAGCAGCATTCGCCGCCTAAATGTTTGGCTGTGGAAGCAAATACAATGTTATCATCTCTACAAACCATTCCAGAGTTTGCAGAGACACTAGAGCTTATTGAATCTGTAAGTCTGTATTTATTCTAAAAAAATGTTTATTTAGGAACTTACACAATATAGATAAAATACTCTTGAGATTACCTTGTGCTGTACTTCTCTGTAGTTTCACCCATATTAAGTGATTTATTTTATTGCCTGTTTTAAAAGAATTGTGGTTTAAAATATTCAGTGTTTTAGCATTGTGTGAAAGATACAAGGAGAATAATTCGGTATATGGCTCCTGGAGGTAAAGAGCTGTTGGATTGGCTTGGTCCTTGTGAAATAATCTTGGATAAGCCTGCTAATGTTTGAATGTTTTGCGTCTTGCCTCATAGGATCCTGTAGCGTGGAGCGATGTCACCAGTTTTGAGCTTTCGGAGACTGTTGCATCTCCTGTCAAGCCAGCTCCAGTAAAACTGATGCGGATTCAGCCCAATGAAGGGGCTGCTGAGTGCCAGTATAATGTCAGTGTCGTGCTTGATGGCAAAAAACATGGTAGCGTCAGTGGCGAGGAAGAAGCAGTTCTTCCAACAACTCCAAACTTAACCAAATTCAGCACTCCACCTACTATCCTAAGAAAGAAAAAGAGATTGCGTGTTGGGCAATCACCAGTTAGTGAACTGAACGATGGCTCGTGTAACAATGCCGTCAATGTTGCACTAAAACATACACCAGTGAAAACACTACCATTTTCTCCATCACAGGTGAGTTTATTTTTAAATATGGCTAAACATGAAACCTGCAGTGAGTGGATTATGAATTACAAGTACTTTCTTCCCTAGTCATACATTGTAGCCTAAACAAATATGTCCAAATAGTTCTTAAAACATCTGCATAAGGGTAGATATATTAAAAAGAAATTGTTAAATAACATATCTCCTCTGTTTTGAAGACTAACTGAAGGGGATGGTGACTTATCTCAGCTCACACTTTCTCATGCAAATAATTGTTGATAGAGACCTATTGTCTCTGTGACCTAATTAAGCCGTAGGGATTTTAAGGAGAAAATTGAGTTTTCAGCGATAAATATTGCAAATGTCTTGGAGTATAAATCAAGAATAGTTTATTGGGATTTGTCAGTAAAAGCCCTTCAGATGTAGACAAAATTGTTTTATTGCTCAGTACAGTGTTGAAATTTTGTCCTTTAAGGTTGCTTAGGTTTTTTTCTCTCTTGCGCTCAGTTTTTCAACACTTGCTCTGGAAATGAACAATTTAACCTTGACAATCCTGCGTTTACATCAACTCCAATCTGTGGGCAGAAAGTTCTTATTACAACTCCTCTACAGAAGGAAATGACACCAAAAGATCAAAAGGAAAATGTGGGGTAGGATTATCACATTAAACATCTGGTGGTGATGCTCAAATAAAACCAAGTTTTTCTAAACATTGAGAAATCAGTCTACCTGTATGCATAGTGTGAATGAGTTTTAAACCCCTTAACACTTAAATACTTGTGTACAAACAAACTGCCTTCCTGTTTTTAACTTAACAGAAAGGGACTTGTACTCAGTCACAGTTTTTCATTTTTTAAAATACTGAACAAAATCAAAGTTTAATATACCTGGGGTAATGCTGTGCTGATCTTAATACTTTCAGATTCATGGTGGTGATACCTGTTGTGTAAATTGAGGTATTTTTAAATATTTCTTAGATTTATTTTATTACGTTACTGTTGATAAAGTAAAATATTAAAATGCATGTATGAACAGTTTTCTGTGCTTGAATAGTTTTAGAACTCCCACAATTAGAAGATCTCTTTTGGGTTCAACACCAAGGACGCCAACTCCTTTTAAAAATGCTTTGGCTGCTCAGGAAAAAAAGTATGGTCCTCTCAAACTTACGGTAATGATGACATTGTTCATTTTCTTCTTTGTTAAAGTCTAAATGCCCTCTTGTTTTTTGAGATATTGTAAGCCTCAGTGTGATCTTAGAAAGCATTTTCTAACAATGCTGCTGTTTCAGTGACATTCCATATTATCCTAGAGAACGGCTAGAATGTGAATCAAAAATGTTTCCAATTCTGTGTTAGACTAGTATCCTCCCATGTAGTATGGAGGCATTATCTTTTTGAATGGCTTTCAGTACGTATAATCATTTGATCTGTAGTAATCTTAAATGCATTTGTTCCGCATTTGTGAGTTGTTTTAAACTTGTGTAAGCCTTGCTAACACTATACCTCTTATGAGGTGATAATATAATTGCCTGAGATTTTCTTTTTAATACTTTAGCATTCTGTTTTGTCAAAAGAAAAATAGTAAGTGCGAGAGTGAAAGGGTGTGGATCCTCCAACTGGATAAACTAGTAAGAGCAAACTGGTGCAGATGAATGTGACAGACTTTGCTATTTTAAGCAACTTTCACATTTGACTTGAAAAACTGCATTATCTTTGAATCCTCTGGACTATGTAAGAGCTGAGCTGTGTTCTGGTTTTCGTTCTTCTACAGTGCCATGACTGAAACTAGATATTTCCACAGCATGCTAGTATTCTGAGAATTCTTTTGACAGCAAGATGTTTGGAACTCTTTTATCCTTGCTAGGGGCTTACTTGGGTGATGTCTACAATTTTTTTCATCCTAACCCCCAAAACCTTAATATAGCAATTCATGATTTCTCTGATTCTTTTGTCTGTCACAGAAGACTTTTTTTTTGATTTACTATGGTTAATGTTACTTTTTTATTTGTTTGTTCCAAATTAATTAAATTTTTGATCTTTCTAGCATAGCTAAGGTATGTTAATGCATAATAACTTTTGGAATTCAGTAGACATACACTTTTCAAGTTCTGAAAAAATTCCAGCCAATATATATTGACTACTTCTTTTCTGCAAACACAGAAGGTAGCTCAGACTTTGCCACAGGGCTTGGCACCATCTGTGTTACCCTGTAGAGTCACAGTCGCTCACTATGCAAATGGAGTGGTTTAGCATTCCTGTTTCTGTCCACTATTAACCTCCTGTTCAAAATCAAATTTTGAGGGCTTAGGGGAATTCTTCCCCTGTTGGTACACAAAGGAGCCATCTGTATGGCTTCTGTGAAATTCTGTACTGTACAATCAATGTCTTATTCAAAGACTTGCATTAAGATTCATATAAATTCTTTCACAACACTCATACTTTTATAGTACAGTTTTTAGTATGTTTGTATGCAAGTATATATACATATGTCTGTGTTTAGTGTATATAAAGTATTTTTATCCCTTCTGTCAGTGGGTAATCATTGCTAATAAATGCAAACAAGTAGTTTGCATGTCTTCTTCAATGCTACCTTGCATTTTTTGAGGCACTCTGTGGATGTATATGTTTTATCTGGCTAGAAATAGTGTGGAGTAAAATGAATTAAAAAAATCTGCATGGCCTTGAAATGTTGATCTGAAATTGTTAACTACAAGAGCTTAAATCCTTTTATCTGTTGCTGTATTTTGCAAGTTCTCTCTTCTGGCCTACATTGGCTGAAAGTAGAATATGGTAAAACCTAGAAACTAATAGAATTTCTGTATTTTCTCCTCCAATTTTGTTAACTTAGTCACAACCACTTGCCTTCTTGGAGGAGGATATTAGGGAAGTTTTGAAAGAGGAAACTGGAACAGATATATTTCTCAAGGAGGAAGATGACGCTGTGTATAAAAGCTGCAAGCAGGAGGTAACATTACAATAATAATTTCAAATAGGAAGCAACTGCTTTTAAATAATATTTTTCAATTTTCCTCTGCAAAATGCTTATTGCAGCACAATTCGTCTAAAAAAGTCAGAAAATCACTGGTCCTAGATCCATGGGAGAAAGAAGAGGTTGGTGCCCAGCTCTTCACAGAAGATAATAGTTTAGATGTACAGGTAAGTATTAATCCACTGAAAAGCGTCACTGGCAGCAATATTGATACAGAACTGAGTATCTTTCATTCTATCAATAAAATAAAGTTTTTGGATTAAGGTTAGATTTGTAAATCTAGAAAAAACCTTCAGTTTAAAATACTACTTTAAATACTTAAGCAATACTTGAACATTGGGCTTGAATTCATGCATGAATTCTTCCTTTCAGGCCTTCAGAGCAGGACTGGTAAAGTAATGTGAATGCTTTGCAGGTTTGCTGTTACAGCAAAGCTGCTTCCATGCTGGTTACCTATAAACTGTAGTGTATATGGCACGCTGAAGCTCTCTGTAATATACCAGGAAGATGACATTTGCCACTGTTTTTTGTGTGCTTGACAGTCTGTTCTGAAGATACCTAATAGCATATTAGGCAGCATGTTTTTCCTTTTCCTGCTTCACACAGTAGGGGAATACTTTTAAGAATTACCGAGCACTTAGAAGATGAGGTTTTCTCTGTGGGCTTTCTCTGCCTGAAGCAATTTGAATACTGCCTCGACAACCAAGACATCAGGAGTTCAGAGATGGGCTGTTTTGGTCCCTCATTCCTTTAAAAAGTAGCCCAATATTTTTCCAGTTGAGTAACTGAATAGTTTAATCTTTAGTCTTGTAGTTTGTAGGAAAGCTTTATTCTAATATAGTTCTTTAATGTGTATGCGTGTTTAATTCTGAAAAAGTAAATGTCTGTGACTCTTGACCAGGTGTAAAGCTACATTCAAGAGGTAGGAGCCAAAGTCCTTAGGAAGAACAGGTGCTTAAGTCATACCCCTTTCTCATTATTGTAGCTGGTTTTCTAAGTTCCCTTCTTACATGCCTTGTAGGCTGGGTGCCTGTCTGCTAGGTGTTAGGTGCTCTGCTGCATAGTGGAGATTCCCCACTGCCCCAGGAACATCTCTGTCTTGTGAGAAGCGGCATTGCTGCAGCCATCCAAAACAGAAGCAAAATGCTCAGGGTTCTCTTAGTAGTGTCTTGTTATGACATAGTATATTGTGCATCACTGATGTTCAGCTTATTAAGCTAAAACGAGGATACACTGTGATGTTGTGGTATATTAGAGGCAGTGGACTGGGAAAAAATTGCTTTTCCTCCATTGTAATGAGGGATGCTGGTGTAACTGGAACATTCACTCTTAGCAAGAGAGTGAGTGGTAGTACCTGATTTAAAAAAGAAAAATGTACCAGTCCTTAAGTAGGACTTGTGTGTGTGTGTGACAGTAAGTTAGGAGTAGGGTCTGAGGTAGAGTAAATATGTAAGGGTAGTTTAATGCAGTTTAATGGGGTGTTTTTGCAAGCAAACAAGTACGTCTGCCACTGTTACTCTTACCTAATTTAGTGCTTTGAAATTGCCATATGCCTTTCTTCTGCTTTGCTATAGTGAAGCTGGATTAATTTATTTTTATTTCCATAAATATTATCAGCATATAAAACACTGCTGGAATAATCCATCCAGTGCTTATTTCAGTTCTTAAAGCAGTTCCCCCACGGATACCCATGTGATCTTAATTTTTTTACTTCAGTCTGCTTGTGCTTACTTTCACAAGGGTTGTGCTAGAAGTGAATTACAAGGTTTTTTCTTTGAACTTTTCTGTAGTTAACACTTTATCAAGCCTTGTTCTTAACAAAATGTAATCAACTGCAGCATGGCTTTATATGAAAGAAACTCTACTCAGTAATGCCTGAATCGTGCTAGCAGCTACCTGTTTTACTGTGCTCAGTATTAACTATGAATCCTGGCATAGACCAGGCTAGTTTCTCATGTGCTGTTCATTGCCTTTTCAGATTTTTTCCTAGGGTCTTTCTGATATTATTTGCTTTGTTTACATTTTGGCTTCTCTGATCACAGCAGTTGAAGACTTTTTTTTTTTTTTTAATTAAATACTAATTGTTATTCCTGTTCCCTACCCTCTTTTTTGTCAATAGTCAGAAAATGCATGTACCACATCTTTATTAATGATACCATTGTTGGAAATACATGACAACAGATGTAACCTGACATCAGAAAAACAGGATACAAATCCAGCAAACAAAGCAAATGCAGTAATTAAGAAGAAATTGAATGCATGTGCTTCAAAAAATACCAAAATGGAGAAAGCTCTTCAGGTCTGGATGCAACGAATTCTGTTAATTTTGTTAGCAGGTTAAAAAAGAAATTTTTTGTTTGGTTTGTTTCTGTCTTGTACTAGTGTCTAGAATTGTTCAATTCAGTGATCTAGTTTTGGTCAGTGTTTCCATGATTCTTATTTCTTGTAAATTGGTCGTTTGTCCATGAGGTGTTTATTCATAGCTAAGTTCTTTAAATACAACCCTTATGTTTTACTGGGTGGAAATCTTAATCTAAGATTTAACTGTGGTGGAAAAAAAAAATCAGAATAGGGTAGACCAATAAAACAGGTTAGCTGTGAGAAAACTTGACTTGACACAAACTAAACCTCTGTACTACCTAAGTTTCTCAAATTTGGCATGTGCTTACTTCATAGTAAGCCCAGAGGGATTCATTAAGTGGAGTTCATCCACAGGTTCTGTTTGGTAATTGTTTTTGTAATGTGCCTGTTCTTGTACATCTGTATATTTTCCATCCTGGTAAAACTGTGGAGCCTAGTTTTTCCTCTGTGTGTGTCTTGACCACCAGGTTTAGGGAGAGATTCTCTTTGACCTGACTTGGTACCTGTTCCAGTTTGCCCCATAGGGAGTTAATGTGTAAAGTTGTTCTGTCTTCTCAGATTATCTGCTGCTCTATATTAATTAAAAAAACCCCAAAAACAAAACAAAAAAAAGCAGGGCACTTGGAGCCTGATCTTCCATGTCCCGCTTAATTGCGTTAATGATGATGTGTTTTGAAGTACAGAGACAACAGTATTACTTTCTGATCCTTTCTTGTCAGAAGAAAGAACAAACCTCTTTCAATTGCGATATTCTAAAGAAAAAGAATTGAGTGCTGTGAATTGCTGCAAAGGTGAATACATCTATCTGACCCAGAACTATGCTCTTAAGAATACTTAAAAGGAGAGCTTAGTCATACTGTACTCACAAATATCCTCATTGAACTACCTTTCTTTTATTTTTTTTCCTCTTTCCCCTGAGAAATTCCCTCTCAGTTTAGTGGCCTCTCTAATCACAAGTCCCTTCCATGAATCAAATCCTGCAAAATTTATAGAGAAACTCCAATGGCTAATTTTCTTTGTGCGTCTGTATGTGGAACTGATCCTTTGGATCAGTTTGTAGCACAATGTGGGAGGGAGAGAATCTTGCATTTTTCATTATGCTACAATCTGCTAGTGTCAGGTCCAATTTAGAGCTTCTACAAATCAGCTTGAGATTCAATAAATCATGTAAACATGCAGGGTTTAGTTCATGGAAGAAGCAAGACTAGAGGCTCAATTATTCTTCTATCCATTATTTTTATTCCTAATTCCTTTGCCATTTCTAATATATTCCCAAAACATCTGACTGTTCTTCCACAGCTGCCACTTTGGTTCAGTGAAGTCCTTCACAGTATTCTTTTTCAGCTGCCAAACCATTTTGCCTTCCATGGTGACTCCAGACAGCTGTCAATAATGTATTTTTCTGCCTGTTGAACTTAGCACATCTAAAGGGGCAGATATCCAAAGAGAAGATGACTTAATTAACTTCCCTTTTATGTATCAATTTTTGAACTGGTCTCTTTTTAAGAGCATTTTTCATTTCGTATGTTAGAGCTTAAAGCATAACACAGATGCACTGCTGGGGAGCTGGATTAAGGGGTGGAGAGGGAGCTTTGTCACAGATTTTAGGTATTGTATTGTAGAATTGAATCCTCAGTACAACACAGTGTTGCTAGACTTCGATAATTTATTGTTACTCTGAGAAGCTGTCTGAGAACAGCTCGAGTAGTTTAGTTCCTTAAAAGAATATTTTCAACTGGACTTTCTTTTATGCAGTCAAATTGTGAATGGGAAGCAGTCGTTTATGGAAAAACAGAAGACCAGCTCATCATGACTGAACAAGCAAGAAGATACCTGAGCACATACACAGCTACCAACAGCACTTCAAGGGCTCTGATACTGTGATGGTCACTGCAACTGACAGCTGTTTCTTTCCGTTGAACGTGGCACAATGTTGAAGGCAATTCCAGCGCAATACTTATGAATTAACTCCTTACTTTGAGGCAGTCTGCCAAGGGAAACCTTAAAGCTACCTTCAAGCTTCCTTTCTTCTTTTGAGTGTCAAAGAACAGTCATGAAGCTCTCATATTCTCTACAAAGGGATACTACAAACAGTTCTGTAATTAATTTCTTAAATATTAAAAAGATAACAACCTAAAATATGATAAAGAATGGTAAAAAACATTGCAGTACTGACAACATACAGTTTTTAGGTCAATTTTTCATATTTATTCTTTTGACTTGCATTGCTTTTTTTTCTGTTAGTGCATTTTCAATATAGAGTAGGTTTATAGGTTGTTACTGGTTTCCAAACGAGCAACATACATGACTGAATGTGCTTTTGCTTATGTAGCATTTTTCTAGTATATAAAGAAACACAATGGCAAGGAGTATAAAGGAAGGATAGAAAGTTGCACTACTAATTTTTTTGGTATGCTGCAAAACAATGACATTAACGACAGTATTAAATATATTTATTTGCAAATGGTACTAGAAGTAGGCAGAGGGGGGTGAATTAGGTTTTAGTGTAAAGCATCAGTATTTTCTTCGTAAATCTCAAAATGAGATGATTGTTGAATGTATTGTACAGTATGTAGGAACAGGGAAAATTTTGTAAATTGGAAAGGAGTCTGTTTTTATAATTTATTTTCATTTTAAAGCTTAAATGTAGATATTTATATGTATGCAGGTTGTCTAGAAGCCAACGTTGTTTCCTGTTAAAACAGCTAAAATGAAAAAAGGACAAGTTTAAAGTATGGAATAGCAAAAGACTTACAGTGGTGAAGTGTACACATCTATACTGTATGTTACATCGACATAAAGATTGCACTATAACCCTTAAATCATGTTGGTCTGCAAAATAATTACAAGGTATACCTGTATTATACAGCAACTATTCCTGTACCTTGTTTAAATATATTTAGAAAGGAATGGTGGGGTCCTATATGTGACCCAGGAGTACTTTGTCCTGCACGGGAACTAAAAACTAATGCATTTTAAATATATTAAATTTAAAAAAAAAAAAAAAAAAGAAACTTGGCACCTTGGATCTCAAAACAATTGTATCTGCACTTAAGTTTGACCATTATATACTTACTAAATGTTTGAAGAGCAAAGAGAACATTCTTTTATTTATGAAAAATCTTTGTCCTTATTTAAAGGTATACAGGTCTCAACAGTTGCTTTAGTTGCCTATTTTAGGTATTTGCACTTATTTTATGTCTTTTTTTTGTTTGTTTGTTTTTGAAGGAATGTTTTGGTTTGCTTTCATTGTAGAGATTTTTATGTAGTTAATTTTGAGCAAGTTATAATGGTGTGCTATCAACAAATACTGACAGGTAAATAGAATTGTACACTGTAGTTTTAGTTATTTATAATTCACTCTTCCTCTCCACTCCCAGGTGTGCTGCTACAGATAGTGGCAGAATCGGCTTGCTGCTATGAGAGATGGAAAGAGCGAGCATCGTATGCACTGTATGTAAAATTACAAAAATGATGTCAGGTTCTCTAGTTAACTTTATGAGATCAACCAGTACTATGCAGGGTGTGGAAAGTATTCCTATCACTTTAATATCAAAGATGGTAGAGAATCATTTATTGATGGGGAATTTTAACATATGATGAGTGGCACAAGGGAGGTCATGGGTTATTACACTTTTTTAAGCATCTCAAAGCTTATACAATCCTTATTTTTAGGAGGTTTTTGGTATTAAATATTTGCCTGGCTATGATAGTAGTAGGCACAAACTTTTTAGTAGTTTTTAATTCACATCAAAATTTTAAGGGGTGTGGGGGAATCCTATATAAGCAAGGGATCAGAAAATACCCATCATGCCAGGATTACTCCTCACCTATGAAAATTGAGAGGAAGCAATTGGAATTCTTGACAGTACTAAATTTAGGCGTGCATACCAGTATGGATTTAACAGCAACATTTAATGCTGGAGACAGCATTTAATTGACAAAAAATGAAATAAGACATTAAGAGAGAGCGAATATCTAGAATCTGGATTATTATTTCAGTAGAAGTGGTATCACCAAAACTGCCTATACCAGGTTTAAGCATACGTTTATGGTAAGTAGTATTAATTTGTGTTGGTATTGGTTGGATTGTTTAGTTAACTCCTACTTTGTTGTTTCAGCAGGGAGGGTTTGATCTTTCATATGTCAGGCATCTTTTATTACTTTTTGAATGTCGTGTGCATTTGCATTTCTTTCAGTTTATAAGTAGATTGTACATGCAGCAGGCAAACTTGCATGAAACCTAAATACATAATTACTCCATATTTTTGTTTTAAGGTTTGACAAGTAATGTGCAACAAATGCCTTGTTTATCTCAGTTTTTGTTGTACTACAAACTGTTACGTATGAGAATCTCACATACAATGCAGACCATATTAATATCAGAAATAAAGCATCTATGTACCAGGTTACTGTAAGTGCCTTTTTTTGGAGAACTTAAACATTCGGTGCTCGTTAAAGCAAAATGAATGAATGTCTGCATGTGAAACTGCAAGAAACCTACCTTTTCTGGACTGGGCAGAGACAAACAGCAATCATGGGAATCAGGCGTTTACAAAGCAGGATGGAGTCCCTTGACAATACATGCTTCAGCCCAACCTACTCCTAAGTGTACTTGTATTAGTGAACAATTTGTATTTGTCTCTCAAAGCTTTAACACAATTATTTATGTATAGGAGGCAGTTTGAGGGATGAAGACCACTGCTAGCGTAAAGCTTTTTTTACATACCTTTCATTTACATGGTAGAAGTGATATTTTAGTATGTGTGTCTGAGTCTTGGGAGGTAAATGTAAGAATAAGCTGTGCAAAGTGGGTTTTTTTTCCCTAACTAGTACTCACAAACATGTATTGATCTGAATTAGAGTTAGACTTTGACTTTTATTTTGCTAGAAAGATGGACATTCAATAGATAATACCTATTGCCTTGTTAGTTTTGTGACAAAATATAAATGGCAAACAATTAAGATAATGTGTTGAAGGAAAAGGACAAGAGGGACTAACACAAGCCAGTTCTTCAGATATGTCCTGGTAATTTTTATAATCTAGCTTTAAACTGCATGAGCAAACTGTGACTGTTACTGGGGCTTTGCTGGGGTTCTGGCTGTACAAATATCCTGCAGACCTGCTTGTGTTTGTGTGTGTGAAATTTTCCATCACTTGCAACAAGTGAAGTGGGCTGACTGTAAAGCTTTTGTTCTTGTCACGGGTGGCTGCTGGCGTCTGAAACCAGGGCAAAGTGTAGGTAGATGGAAGTGAAGTCTCTAATGATGTGACTAGTTCATTTCTCTATGTCAACTTTGCTCGGTGATAGAAAGTAGAGCAGATGGACAGCCAGTAAGCCAAACCTGGGAGGAACTACAACCCTAAGTTTGATTATATGAAGACTCTGGAAGCTTTACTTGTGGGCCTGGCTTTTGCTTGGAAGAAATGGTCTTTTAAGGAACTGATTTGTGAGAGTAAGCCCAGTTCCTACTGCTGCTGTTCTGGTTTTACATGAGAATAAATCTAAATTTAGTTGCACCAAACTAAAACCGATGCAATGTTGTGAGTGAATCAAGCTTCATAAAAGAAGCATTTTAACACTGGTTATTAACTGAGCACAGTTGCACCATACGTGGTGGCCAAGGTCCAACACAATGCAAACAGCCAAAATTCTGAAGCAAACTGCCTCATGCATTTGGTTTTGTGACAAGCATTCAGATAAAGGTTCAGTACCTAGACAGAAGATACACCGATGTCTTCTGCTAGACATCATTTCCCTTTTTTTTTTCCATAAGTTTCCTTGACCTTGTGTAAGATGAAGCTTTACATGCTTAAATGCTTACTTTCATGAGGAAGCTGTGGATTACTGTTTCTGTGCCAGCTAAGCCAAAAGACTGGTTCTCTTGAAGGTGCAGCATACTGGTGTGTGTGTGGCTTTCCCTGGAGACAGCCAGCTTATCCCTTGAGTGGGTTGGATTCTTGCCCTGCAGCTGAAGGGAACAATAGGATCCTTGTAGTTCTGCTAGCATGATGTGTTGGAAGAACAGGTAAGCTTTGGACATTTATACATAATATATTTTGGTATAAGTAAAAATCTGAGTGCTTATACCTGCTGTATCCCATCTTAACGATGATGAATGAAGAAAGCTCAATAGTGCAGTTTCTGTTTGCATCTGGAGATGTGCAATATGGCGTTCTACAGTATCAACTGTTTGGTTTTCTTTTTAAATTTCATTTCCTCTTCAGCTTCATTGCTGTGTGGTTTTTGTGAGGTACAGAACTGAAAGGAGTCCGCTGATGGTGTGTGCTGTTGGACTGTCACCCCAGTGACACAGTTGCTATTGCAAAGAGAATTCTGTCTACCTATTACTGCCTTTTACAGAAATTTGGGGTGGTTCTTTGGAGGATTTTTAGAGAGTCCTCTGGATTATTTAGCTGAGTTCTGATTTCCTGTGTCGTCACACCGTCTGGCTACAGAGAAGATCGATGTTAATGGCCTTAGCACATGCAAGATGGGAATGTGCTGTGTATTGGCTGGCAGCAATGTATGTCTGTAGTTGTCCTGTGTCACTGTCTGACGGGAAAGGGTGCTTTTGTCTTTTGGGGAGGGAGAATTCTGCTTACTCAGCATTTACTTCCTCGCTGACTCCCAGCCAGTTGCTTGGTCTTAGTTACTCCTTGTAAAAGTGATATTTGGTGGCTGCACAGGCAACAGAGCTTTAGAGCATGCCGTAGTGCATGTTATGTGCTCTGCTTTAAAATGGTCCATCCCATAGGTTAAGAAATCTGTTCGGTTTTCTGAGGGTATCAAGTTCTTACACCAGTAGGCATTAAATAAAAAATAATTTTTAAAAGCCCCCACCTGTAGAACAAGCCCATAAACCAGACAAGGAGATCCAGAGAAAACTGCTCATTGAAAGACCACGCTTGTAACTGGTAATATATAGAGTGCCTCAAAACTCTTTGTAGGAACTATATGAACAAAATGAGCTATGCATGTACAGTAGATGGAAAGTCAAAGTTTGGAAAAGCAATCAGCTTTGTGAATCTGAGCAGCTGAGGATGTTTGCATGTACATGTAGAGGTGAGTTGGCTTGATGCACTGATCTTAAAGCTGAGTGATATAAGGGAGGACAGCATCCTTGTTTGCCTAACTTCTCATGCTGGCAAGTGTGTGTTTGTAGCGACTTGGTGGCTCTGGGTTTGTGTGCATTTGTGGCACTGGGGCTCAGGCTGCGCCACA